CGCGTGCACACACAAATACGCAGGAATATTTTCTACACATGTGTGAGTGCTTTCGACGATTATGCTTTTAGAACTCTTCCACCAATCTGAAATTATTTAGCCTCAGAAAAAGAATTTGTAAGGTTTTAAGATTTTCATTTACAAATCCTAAATAAATAATTTATCATTGATTGTGCTTTTCATAGCATTTTGCGCCAATGACATCAGCAAGAACATTAACTGTGAATGTGTTTATATATATATATATATATATATATTTACCACTTAAATATAATAACAATAAATAATTTCACAACTGCATTGTTATATTTCTGCACGACACACGCGCGCGCACACACACACATATATATATATATATATATATATATATATATATATATTACTCAGCTGTTTTTTTTTTACTTTGGATATTCCTAATTTCGATGATTTAAAAATTCTCGACCCAACCTACTTTCCAAAATCAGACCACATTTTTTATAGATAAAGAAGTCTTACTAAGGAATTCATGTACTTCAACCGGAACTGAACCTGTATTCCCTTTTCCACCAGGGAAACCGCTTCTATAGCCGCAACGTGTCTTTTGCTAATTTCGTCAGTTAGGAAGTGTTTGCAAGTTTTAAATTATCTATTTAAAGAATGTTGTTGAGTCTTCTACGAATTTATATCTGCGTCAATTTCGTACCCGAAACGTAAAATAAAATATTTTAAGAAAACGTCTTAAAATGACCCTTATAGTAACAAGGAATATATATATATATATATATATATATATATAGAGAGAGAGAGAGAGGGGGGGAGGAGGAGGAGGAAGATGAAGGAGTGAGAAAGAAGGTGTTGTAATTTTATTTTCAGTCAATATGAAAGGGAAGATCTCGGTTTCGCCCTAGTTACAGTATATCCAGTAGATTATTTAATTAAAATTTCAGTCATCGACCATCTTGTTTGGTAGTAATTCCCATGCCCTCGCACCGTCTGTGTCTAAGATTTTAGGCAGTGACACATGCACCAATATGGTTTATTGTGTTTAAGATTTCAGTTCTAACAGGTGTCGTGTACACATACACTTACGTAGGCATTTTATTGAATTAAATCCGCTTAACTGTAGCTGAATTGTGGGCCTTGGGGTCGCTGGGTGGTCATTTTCCGAGTACTGCTACGCATTTTGGTAATTTTGGTATCGATGGCAACATCGACCAGATGAACATTCATCAACCCGTAGACGAGGTTCTGGACAGCCACTTACGTGAAAAGACGCTCGCTAAGAAAAAAAAAGAGAAAATGGTTCCAAGTGTGTCATCTCTGACCATTGGGAATCGTTTGCTTATAAGATTAAGGCACAAGTGTCCCTAATCAAACTTGCACATGTCACAACATTTTCGTGCCCGTCTCTATTGATGTCACCTGTGTGATTGAATCTTGCTCTATGGTGTTCAAATAGGTTATGTTTCATAAATGCTTCTTGTCTACATATGCGAGTTACGCGACTGGAGTTCGACACCTTCTAAAGCAGGGGTTTTCAAACTCAAGGGCACAAAAAGACCATTACATTCTGATGTGGGGGGGTTACAGTAGGCTAGAAGCAAGTACGTCGCCTGGGTATTACAAATGGGGAAGGGCATCATTTCCAGTGTGTGGGCATCAACTTCAAAGGGAGACAATAATAGAAGCACATTCAAATTCACAGTTGCAAATGAGGGGGGGGGTAATTTTTTATGTAAGTGAAATGACAAAAGTACGCAGGTGTAGGCTTTAAGAAAGCTTTATTCAATAAAAGGTTCGCGTATAAATGTCCTTTTATAGTCCCAGTAACGAGATCAGACTCTGCTGACCTTAGTTTGACATACCTACCAGGTGCAAACAGAGAGTTAATCAATTTTGACTGTTTGCACCTGGTAGGTAGGTCAAGTTAAATACAGCTACTACGGAAATGGTACCCGCTGGTCACAGAAAGGCAGTCTAACGGCTGCGTATTTGAGACTTTTGTTCTGGGGGTTTTCACCCCCGACTCATAGGCAATACCCCTTCATTGTAGTGTAGGGTGCCATAAATTACAACTCTTGCTCACTTTTTATGTTTGTAATTAATACGTTGAACTTAACTTTTACGTCCAGAACATTGTACAACCCGTTTTGCTGCCTTTCCTGCAAAAAGAAGACGTTGTCGTTGCATTCTTCCAGCAGAATAATGCCTGTCTAAATGATGCCCATGATACTTACATATTTTACAAGATATTCGACAGTATTCCTTATCAGCACGACCACCAAATTTGTCTCCCATTGATTATATATGGGAAATGATGGGACCTAAAACTCCTGTATAACGTCAACAGATGTAAGAAACATGTAATCATGTATCACATTCAGAATCTGTATGACTATATGCATGTAAGAGTACTGGGATAAAACCCAAGGAGGACACAGATTATTTTAATATAGGGCCTAATAAACAGTTTATTTTGGAAGCTGTGCACGTGTTATTCTCTATATACAATCATTTATTCTAAACCAGCTATATTACCTGTACGTTTAAAATACAGATTATTCCAATGTACGTATATATATATATATATATATATATATATATATTATAAAATATATATATATATTCTGTGTGTTTTGTGTGTAATTTAAATTTCCGACCATCAAAGGTGAAGAAACCGCATGGTAACAGAAAGGTCAGTTTTTCTAATAAATATTTAATATATATATATATATATATATATATATATATATATATATATATATATATATATATATATATATATAGAATGTTATTTAATATATATATATATATTTATTTGTTATGTATATATATATATTTTATTTATTATTTAATATATATATTTAATTTGTTATTTAATATATATATTATATATATATAATATATTATATATATATATTATATATATATATCTTGTTATTTAATATATATATATATATATATATTTTATATAGTATTTTTTTATTTAATATATATATATATATATATATTCCGTATAGAACAATCGCCTTACTACCAAGGTTTCTTCATCTTTTGATGTTTGATATATATATATATATATATATATATATATATATATATATATATATATATATATATATATATTTATATCAAAATTTTAATTTTGATAAAGAATAAATTATATTTTTTATTGTATTTTATTCAGTCATTTTTTTTGATTACGCTAAACAATATATTTATATATATATATATAATATATATAGTATATAGTTATATATTTTTAAACAAAATAATTAAAGATTTTATTGTTTTTCAGTCTATTTGGCCTGCACAAACAATATTTTTTAGTGAAACTAATATCTGAAGGTTCGTTTTTTTAAAAAGAGTTTATTTCGTCTACATATTCTGCACGCTCCAGAAACCATAAATAATGGTTTGAATATATATATATATATATATATATATATATATATATATATATATATATATATATATATATATATATATATATATATATATATATATATATATATATATATATATATATATATATATATATATATATGGAGAACTCATATTTTTCTGACATGATTTCTCAAATATTGGGGCAGGTAGATGTAGTTGGAAAAAATACTCTTTAATTAAATAATACTGTGTAATTAAAAAACAGAGCTTCTACTTGAATATGATTATCTATCAAAAATAACGTTTCAAGAAAATAAATTTAAAATAACACAAACAAAAAATAACATAGAGGGATAGATACTGGTGGAAAATAAAATGTGTGTGTGTTGATTATGATTCATACAACTGTGTTCATCATGTATAAAAGTTACATTATATATATATATATATATATATATATATATATATATATATATATATATATATAAATATATATATATATATATATATATATATATATATATATATATATATATATATATATATATATATAATATAAGCGTACTCACTTATGTATATACATTAACATATGGATTTAATATAGGTTTATAGCTGTCTACACACTCACACACATATGTGTGTAATATACACTTCATATGCATACATACACATATATGTATATTTGTGAGTGTGTGTCTGCCTTATTTATATATGTGTGTGCGTGTACAGCAATCAGTTGGATGCTTAATGATGAAAATGCTGATTTATTTTACACAATAAATATTTATTTGTCAACATATCATAATCTCTGACATTGTCGATGAACTTAATTCCTAGATGAATATTAATTAAATCGCTGGAATATGATATTCGGAAAAATTCAGATCAAAATTCAGTTCATAAGTAAGTGTTTAACCACGGTTTCATCGGTTCAACCTGGTATATGGCTCCGTGTAACTAAAATACACAAGATATCACTTGAACTAATTCGAATCCCTGCGCTCCTGAAAATGACAGGATTTAGCCAACAAAACCTTTTCTAACACATTGACCCAATTCTTGAAAATGACCGAGACGTTTGAAAGTACTTCAACAAAAACAGAACAAAACGTGACTTCGGACTGTTTATCCACGATTTTGATCCCAATGTACAACATCTTATTTCAAAAGTGAAGAAATGAAATAAAAAATATGAAACAAACAAATCTTGTCGGTTGAATTTAACAAAACGTATTTGAATGAATTCGGGCAGCCGAAATACACACTGTGTCTACTCACGAATGTACACACACACAAATACATATGTGTGTGTGTAATCACGTACGCACACACACACACACACGCACGCGCATATATATATATATATATATATATATATATATATATATATATATGTGTGTGTGTGTGTGTGTGTGTGTGTGTGTGTGTGTAAGGTTTCTTAGAAATGCATATAAATTTTGATGCGTAATCGTGTAATATAAAGTTCCGTATACAAGCGTCTGTACATATTGAGATATAAAGCACCCCCGAAAGCACTGAGGAGTTGCATCCTCAGAAGTGGGAGAGCTATTGTGGAGAGTAAGTAGGGAGAGTACGCGCAAGGATAACAGTGATCGTCCCTGGCAACCAAACCAATGCGAATCCATAAATATGAAGTGGCAGGAGAAGAAGCGGTAAGGGGACACCAACTCCTCTGCTTTCTCCTTCATCTCCCACTCCACCAATCTTCTCTTCTCAACCAGCTGCTGCTGTTGCTGCTGATGCTGTGGGTATCAGCTAGACTGGTCAACCTCTACCACATCACTCGCCACCCCGATCGATACTTTGTGGCAATCACTTGCACAACAGCTGTGCTCTCCCATACCCGTCTTCCCACGGTAATCAACATACATCAACCATTTTCCCCTCTTTCCCAACTTACACCCAAACAGACCTTTCCTTTTGTATACACCACCCACCGCTCACCCCAACTGATCATTATCACTTTATATGCATTCACCCGACCAGCCCACCTACTATTTACCCACACACCATTTTCTCTTCTTATTCGACAACTTGCTTAATGATATTTTCACCTAAACTCTTTTCTTTACTCCTCTCTGTGTATTCAGTAAAACTCTCTTTATCCCTTGTCCTCTTTCTCTCTCTCTCCCCGTGTGTGTGTGCGTATGTGCTCGTCTATGTCTGTGTGTATTACTTTTTACCGAAACTCTCAAATTCTCTCTCTCTTCCTCTCTCTCTCCCTCTCTCTCTCTCTCTCTCTCTCTCTCTCTCTCTCTAGATAGATAGATAGATAGATAGATAGATAGATAGATAGATAGATAGATAGATAGATAGATAAGAGAGAGGGGGAGGGAGAGAAAAATTCATAGATTTTAACTTCTTATGCACTCTTTCTCTTTCTCTTTCATTTTTTATATGCCATTCGTTCTTTTCCATCACTCTGTTTTGCTTCTTTTCTTTCTCTCGCTCTCTCTTCACCACTCTTTATCTCTATTTTTCTTTTCTCTTTTTTGTTATCTCTTACTTTTATTGTCTCCTGTTCTCCTTTGCTTTTCGCCTTTCACAAACTTTGTTGTTTTCTTCCCTTCTCGACTCTCTGGATTTTATACTCTCTTTTTTATTTTTTACTCTTTTGCTTTTTTATATCACCTCCTTTTCGTTTTTCTTCTCACTTTCTCTTTCGATTGTATCCCTCTCTTTCTTGTTTTTCTCCTTTTAGTTTTCTTTTACTTTTATTCTCTAGGTCTCATTTTCTCTTTGCCTCTTTCTATCTTTTTTGTTCTATCGCTTTCTATTTCTCTTCTCGTCTCTCCTTAGGTATTATACCCTCTCTCTTATTCTCTCTTTTGTCTTTGTCCTGTAAAATCTTTCTATATTTCTCTTTGATTTTTCCATCTCTCTCTTTTGCTTCTATTCTCTCTCTCTTTCTTTCTCTCTCCATCTATCTATCTATCTATCTATCTATCTATCTCTTTCTTGTTTTCTTTTCTTATTTACATTTATTGTACCTTTCTGTTACAGTCTCTCTCTTGTTCTATGTCTCTATCTTGCTCTCTTCTTTTTTTGTCTCTTTCTATTACTTTTTCGCTTTCTTCAATTCTCTTCTGCTTGGGTCTAACGTCATCAGCCAAATCTTGTAATACGAACGTCCTTTGCAGTGTACTTGCATGGTTGGATCGAGGGAACAGAAGTGGCTTGCCGACTCTTAAGTTCAACATTCCACCTCAAATACTGACCTCTTATTACTCTTTACCGAAACATTACCAAAAAGATAGATTCTTGCAAATTTTGTTGAACACAATGATCAAAATATCGCGTTAACAGACGAACCATACAAATACCGAATTGGTGATGCTTCTTCTCATGTACACGCCCGTGAGAAAGTGAAATCACTCAAGCAATAACGCCTTTGACTTGCATGTAAACTCCGATCTCAATCGCCGGATTAGAAATCCTCGGAGAACATGTTTTTGAGAAAGAAGAATGATTTCATTCTTTGTTTGAAAAACAAAACAAAAAATAAACAAATTGTTTCTTTCCCTTGAAAATCATTCTAGCACACCTGAATCGGTGAAATGCACTTTATTCGCCTTTTTCTCTCTCTCTCTTTCCCTCTCTCTCTCTCTTTCTTTCTCAGTCACTCTCTATATTTCTCCTTCCTTTTTATGAATCTCACAGCGTACTTTCTTAATTCTCCAGTGATTAATTTATCAGTTTCTTCATTCTTCCTTCCATTTTAACACACAATCCCTACCATCATCTTCACTAATTTCTTGAACTTTTTATTTATTCTGCATTCTTCGATTGGACCCTTTTGAATCATCACTCTCACTCTCATTTCTTCTGACAGGGTTATCTCCCTTGGCTTTTCAATTTCCACATTCTCTCTCCCTATTTTCCTGGCTTTCCACCCTCACACACCCGATGGTGCAATTACTCACACCTCCACTCATCTATCCACCCTCACAAATTTTTCTGATTCTCTTTTTGACTGACAAAATCTTTTACTCATTACTCACTTAAATCCTTCTCGCTCTCTTGTCTTCGTTTCACCTACAGACCCACTCACACACCGATACATACATACACAAACACACGTATATATATATATATATGTGTGTGTGTGTATATATATATATATATATACGCACACACACACACACACATATATATATATATATATATACACACACACATATATATATATATATAAAGAGAGATATGATATTGATTGATTCACGTGAATGAAGGGAAAATGTCCCTCTTGTCAGCATCTCCTACTTTTGCAAATCAATTTCAAATCTCAAATATACATATCTTCCCATTATTCATATCCCTCCCTTCTGATGTAAATAATTTTCAAATCACCATCTTTTTACCTTTTCACTCTTTTTGTTAATTTTTCTATCTATCTATCTATCTATCTATCTATCTATCTATCTATCTATCTATCTATCTATCTCCAGCTTTTAAGCCCTCTTTCATCACCCTATTTGCCACTTTCTCTCTTCGAACTGATCCCTGCTTTAATGTATTCACTTTTTTGAGAATCCATCACGTTTCTTTTTCTCTGTAATTCTCTACTTTCTTTCTGCTTACAACCTTGTTATTCCATGTGTCTTACGTCTCTCTCTCTCTCTCTCTCTCTCTCTCTCTCTCTCCATATATATATATATATATATATATATGTATATATATATATATATATATATACATATGTATATATTACATTATTCTCTTTTTATCTATTCCATCAACCATCCAATTGTGGTTATTCTGTTATTATTCCTATAGTTTTCCCTCCTTTTTCGATGTAAATTTTTTTCACTTGTCCACCACTTTTCTCATTATATCTCCTTCGCTGCTCCCATCTCCAACATTCTATTCCATTTTTTCTTTTCTCCCTCTCTCTTATGATACACCCACACAATCACACGCATACACGCGCGCGTGCACTCACACAAACATGCACCGAATTGAGATCTGCGTATTCCATTTATCCCCCTCTTTTTCTTTTCGATTTTATTCCAAGATGGTTCTCAAATATTTCGTTTTGATTATCACATACTTTGTTTTATTTCTCCTTATTATCATCCTCACGTTTTATATCTCCTCCCTAAATATATATATATATATATATATATATATATATATATGTAATTGAACGTATCATTAGTATGATGGTTTCCCTTGCCACACTTGGCTTAAAAGCGATTTACTTGATGGAAAAAAGTAATATATGTCCTATTCCAGCCGGGAAGCACATTTTTTATTAGGACTTCTAGATGACTAGGCCGGCTGACATTAATTTCATTGTTTATTCAGAGATGTCTATTCAGTAATTATAACGTTTACATTAATATATATATATATATATATATATATATATGTAAGTATGTATGTGTGTGAATTTAGAGAGAAATATATATATATATATAGAGAGAGAGAGAGATAGATAGAGATAGATAGATAGATAGATATGATAGCACATACTCTTAACTCATGCTATATTCATGGGTAAATGTACTCAATATCAGACACAGAGCGTATGTAAATATATTGGTGTCAACATCAAGTAGTGATAGTCTGATTGAACGTAATCTTCAGACCATGCGTGTTGCATTTTGTCTCGACTATTTATATATGCTAGTCAGTGTGCATTATGAGTAGCAAGGTCTATTGTAATATAATGACGGTTACTGGGTAGGCGGTAACGGTTATGTTTCAAATTATTTTAGAGGATATTGAGTATAAATAATAGTGTATCCGCCTGTGACAATTTGTAGCTATTTCATAACGTTACTTGTTAACTTTTTACCCATTTTTTATTATTGATTACTTAATTATTTGTTGCTGATTGTTATTATTACATGTACTCGTGTTTATGTGTGCATTCATAATTTGCTAATTTGAAGTATTGCCAATACTTTAAACTAAACAAATAAAATTTTCCCATCTCTTAATACTTTACATATATATATATTTATTAAAGACATTTTTATGTTTAACGTTCTTTTTATAGATACAAGTATTTAAGTAAATGCTCTGTTTATAATAAACAGTATTAAATAACATTTACTAGCCTGAATGTCCGAGAAATTTTCATAGAAAATATTCGTCCTTTGACAGGATTCGAACCTGCATCCTATACGGAACCGTCATTTACGCTGACGTGCCTTAACCGACTCGGCCACAAAGGAGCGTTCGGTAGGCAATAATAATTAATAAATAAATTGTCGGACTTTGTCCATTTTATATATATAAGGCACGGTGGAGTAATGGATAGCAGCTTGGATTGAGGAATCGCAAAGGCGAGTTCGAATTCCAGTCGAATCCATTACATTCACTTACGTGGTATGAATCCTCTTCCTCTAACTATGGGTAACATAACGGAACAGACTGGGTTCTATAGCCTTGGATGGCAACTGGTCTAGGAGAAGGACAACTCTGAATTCAAAACCTGCGGAGGGAACCTTGTGGCATTCGGTGCACCAGGTCTCTGTATTCATCCCTTCAAAAAGTGTGGATGGTCCTGCACGAGGCCTTCACCACTATAATCAAATCTTATGTGCCGGTGTCGGGCTGTCGGTTTCCTGGAAACTGATCTGCTTGACCCTCATACGTCGAATCTAGACGGGAGAGTTGACTATATATATAGTGATATATCAATATACATATAAAATGATATATCAATATATATATATGATGGACTCTCTCTTTCAGTTCAGTTTTATGTTTATGTTTCGTATGTGACAGCAATCCTGCGCGGGATTTGCAAACATGTTGAAGTGTTGACCGTCGTATGGGCTGATGTATTAGCAGGAGATTTAGTGTTAATTCTTAATTCTCTCAGATGGGTGAAACGATTCTTTTCAAAGTTAGTTATACCTCGGTAGCAGATGTTTCTCCAGTTTGCTCGGTTTTCGACAGCAAGTTCGAACTCCTCTATAGGGATGTTTGCAGCAATTAAATTGTATTTAAGTAACCAAGGACGGCCTACATTACGCTTACCATGAAAAAGTTGGCTAAACATGAGAATTTTCGGCATCCGATCATCACTCATTGTGATGACATGACCAGCCCATCTGAACTGTGACTGCATCAGAAAGGACTCAATACCACCGACGTTACATTTGATGAAAAGATCAGGGTTAGAGATTTTCTCCTGTCGTGTATAACCGTATATTGAACGAAGACAGCGTTTATGAAAAGCATCAAGTTGATTGATGTGCGTCCTGTATGGTGTCTCAAAAATGTATGCACACTTTTACACTTATTTTTAAGTCTGTTGGAACAGTCTATCACGCCAAGAACTAAAGAAGTACCAATACACTACCATCGTGATATACAATCGTACCCGAATTAAATCTTGTCAAACAGATAGATCGAGACACAAGGATCATTGTGGGAATACTTAAAATATAAAGCCTACGCTACAAAGTCAGCAACAATCACTGAAATGAAAGTTTCCATAAGAACAAGAATGCAGCCAAATAACTATCGAATTGTTGATGATAAACACCATATATATATATATATATATATATATATATATATATATATATATATATATATATATATATATATCGGCTAGTCGCACTCACGAGCTGTGATACAGCGAAATAGTAGTCTGCGAATGACATAATTTAGCTCTTGAAAATATATTTTCACCTGAGTACTGTTGAATGACAAGCCAATTCTAAAAACAACGGTCACTTGCGTAAATGCGAAGCTCTTCGGTAAAATAAATGGTGTACAATGGCTGCTTGACGTTTGTTTCCGTTTCTAAAAACAATACGCTAGATTTGGCTGACTCATTCTGTCAAGTGAAGATGGCTCAGTGGTAGAAGCTCCGATTAACACCAAGTCGGTTGGGTTTCGATCCGGGATTGAGGTATTCGGTTGTCTAGTCGCACTGAGGTGTTTTACAGCGAAACAGTACTGTCTGCGAATGGTATATATGTATATTAATATACGTCTACAGTTCGATTCGGCGTTTCATGGCTTTGGCAATCATCAGGTACAAAAAGTTGCAAACTTTTCAATACCGCTGTTTTCTGTTTTTTTTTTTTTTTCTGCGTCTCATGTGACCAATGCTACATTGTGTTGATTCAAAATTATTATAAGTATATTATAGTATTGGTGAATAAATTCAAAATATAGGATGTTGATAGGAGGATATCTAAAAATATACTAAGTTATTAATAGTAAGTTTAATAGGGATATTGATCCGTTAATGCGTAATAATCTTATCCGTTGACTCAATACACATTAACCGAGGACTGACCATTGATAACTACCTTGAGGGACCTACCTGTTAGGAAGGACTCTTCCTGTTATTCCATAAATGGAGAATTTGTGTAGTAAGCCTTTGTGCTTCACCTTGTCAAAGTTCTTTGAGATTGTTCTTTTCTAGGTGATCGACGATTTTCTTATTGATTATGGCCTTAAAGAGTTTGCTGATGATACTTAGGAAACTGATGGGTCTGATGGGAGGGACAATATCGAACGCCCGCGTTCTTGTAAACCGGGCATACGCTTGACACTTTCTACAGCCTTGGGAAGGATTTCTCCTTCAAGAAGCGGTTGAATAATTATTACTAGGATAGGGATTTTGTCTGGACCAGTGGCTTTCTTAGGGTCAAGACTTCTTGTGCTGTGATGGTAATATTACTTTTACTGAAATTGTGCTCCGTGAAACGCGGGAACTTGGAGACGGGATGGTCTCTGTCATCCAACGTTTAGGTTAGCGGAAACAATTGAGACGAAAAGGTTCGCCTTATCTGTCGAGGAAGGTATGACCTCGAGGCTATTAATAACTGTGGACACAGCTGCTATACCTTTGTTTATGATTTGGTTGGTGAGCTTCCAGAATTCACGGGATCCAAATTGTTTCTTTTCAGCCTTCGTCTGGACTGCATGTGCGTAGCTACACTTGGCATTTTCTAGAACGTTTTTTGCAGCGATTGAGAGCACTTCTGAATGCAGCGAGTGTCGAATTACATCACTCCTTGATATTGAAGTAGTGATGTCGTTGAGTTATGGATGCAGTGCATTCAGGGATGAATCAGGGTTAACTGTTTGTTATTTTTGCTGAATTATTTTGGGGAAAAAAACTCTCTGAATTCTAATTCCAGTTTTATCTGTGGGGTTCAATTTCTCACTAATGGTCTGGCATAAATCCATTTTCTTTTCCACCATTTATGGATTAAATATTATAAGTAGGCTGGGTTCTTTAGCCTTGTACGGCAACCAATCTACAACTCTACATTCAAAACCGTGGAGAAGAGAACGGAAAACCTCTCTATATTTCCAAGAATTCATGGAAATTTCCAAATAATCATTTAGAAGAATCTGTGGAAAGCAATGCTTGCCAACATTATGAATGGTCATGGTATTAAAAAAAAGTGAAAATAACAACAATCTGAGTACTGACTGTGTTTTCAGTAATATTGAGTAACCTGTGTTAGCACTAGTTGCTTTTATAATTGATGTTGTTTTTTTAGGGGGGAGGCGTTAAGGTGTATTATTGTGTTATGATAAGAGTTTCTTAGGCTGGTGTCCTTTAGCACTGACATTAATGTATTGGGCTAGCGTGCTAGCGTACATAAAAAGTATAACTCCATTCCACCTGAAACCATTCCTCTCGACACATTCTCCGCACCTTTTAACACTTGCAGCCTCCTCCATTCTACTCTTATAACCGAGAATCCTGCTTTTTTTTATTCACTTTCATACTTCTCAACCTCTTCTCTTGTTACTAATTCCGCCAATTAATTTATCTGTGTTCTCTCTCTCTGCTTACTCTAATAGAGCCGTTTTTACTCAGTCAATTCTCCACTCCGACTCATTTCTAAAATATCCTAAACGTTTGCTCGTTTGCCTCGTCGTCTTCCAAACCGGTTATTCAAATCATGTCAAGAAACCAAGGTGCTGACTAGTAACCATGCACATTCAATGCAGAGACAAGCGGACATATACGCAGAAAAACTCACAAAGACATAGGAAGATTTTGCCTCTTTATCAAAGACTGATAAGTAAACATTCGAACATTATAAGTATCAGTGCGCACACACACGTACACACACAGGTACACACACATACAGACACGCACAAACACGTACACACGCATCAGTTTATGCGTTCTCTTCTGTTAATAACAATCGTTCATTATTTAGTTTGTTGCCGAAAATAATTAAAGTTACCTGAAAGAGAGTGATGGGTAACACTCCACCGGCCCACCTAATATCATTCCAAAATCTGAAAACATTCTGAATTCATAAAATTGTGTACCTATAGAATGTAGCTAGTATTTAATTCTTTTTTTTCATTTGCTTATACCTCATAGTAATAACAGTAGTAGGTGTGCAGGTAGGGTAACAGTTATCAGAAAGTATCATCGGCGAGCTGAATTGTAATTTCAGTTTTGTCCGTTTCTTCCGATTTCTCACTAATGATCATGGGAAAGGCATCAATCCATTTCCTTTCTTACCAATTATGAATTAAATATGAATAGGCTGGGTTCTTTAGCCTTGGATAGCAACCAGTCTACAAGAAGGACAACTCTACATTTAAAACCACTGCGTTCTTTTTTGTTCGGTATTTCGTTTGTTGCAGAAAATGATTAAAGTTGCATGGATAAGAGTGACAGCGTGTCGGTAATACTAATAGCCGTCAGTATACCTGGTTCAATATGTTGTCATCGTTAACCGTGATTATTATTTCATTTTTTTTTTCACCAAAATTTACTAATTACTATATGTTATGATGGGAATAAATTACTATATGTTATGATGGGAATAAATTACTATATGTTATGATGGGAATAAATGTAAGTTTTGTCATATGATGGGAATAAATGTAAGTTTTGTCATAATTTCTTTTTATCAGCTCACCCCAAGCAAAGCGATAAGGCTACGAAAACGCAAGAACTCGGAAACCTAATTCTAAAAAAGAAACAAGAGATAAACTTCTAATCCTGTTCAAAAAACTGAAGAGGAGTGTGAACCGGGCGATAAGCTGACCTATCAAATCCTATTAAATTTTCTAAATAGATCCTATTTGTGATTGATTAATTGAATTTTTTTTTTTTAATATTTATCAAACTTTTGCATGTTATTTAAGGTCAGAAAATATTTTTAGGTTGTAAGATTTTAGGGGAGACAATAATGATTTACTGATACAATCTCTACTAATTAACAAATATAGCTAAGAGAAAAAGAGGTGCATCCATACCCTTCCAAGCAGTATTTAAACGTAAGTGAATATAACGAACCAGACTGGAATTGAAACTTGCCTCACAGATTTCCTATTCTTAGCTGTTATCCATTACACCACCCGCACATGCAAAGGTACAGCACCTGGTATTCCCAAGCGGAAACTCCTCTAGGTACTGAACAGGCTCGACGATGCTTAATTTCGGAAATTGTACAAGAACCAGTGTTTCAAACGTGATATGGCCGTAAGCTCTAACCCGTATCATCTGTATCTTTTTTCTTTTCTTTTTTTTTTTATTGTTATGCTTAAAAAATTGGGGTGCAATTTATATTCGTGAAATAAATAACAATTTTCCGGACCCGTACGTCGCCATATTTCGAACAGTAGACGGAAACTTATATCTATTGTCCAAAGTAATTAATATGTAAGAAAGAGTTTAAATTATTAGAATTTTTGCAAGTAGAGATTAAACATATCTTAGTCTACTTCACTGTTGCCCGCATTAAATACAAACGTCATGATATTTATGTTGTCGGCGTTTCATTTTATTTATGTTGTCAGCGTTATCTTCGATGACGACGTACACAGAATCATCTTGTCCTTTTCCGCAAAAAAAGGTCATGTTACGTCCACATCTATTTTATACTGTCACAGAGAAATAGCCACTTGTCATTGGAATGTGTGTTTGTTCATGATTTGGTTTCTCCTGGCGTGAACTTATTTTTGCTGCAAATTTGTTGTATATTTGTGTGAATATGTCTGTGCGGTTGCTTTAAATAATCTGTGAATTTTAATTTATAATCTAAATAAAGTTTAATTTTCAGTCGATACGCAGTGTAGAAAAAGCTGAACATATGCTAAATTTCGGTTAAATTTAGTTCTTACAAATTCTAAAATGTCTGCGTATTTTCCACAAGAGATTTTACAGATTTTTATTTATTTATTTGCAGAATTTTATACGAATGATTTTTTTAAATTTTGTAGCCCAATTTTAGGGAGGCATTTTATACACATGTGTGTATTATACACAAATAATTACGGTAATAATGTTCTGATGTAGCCAAAATAAATTACGTGTATGCCTCCTCGCCTTGTCTGAATAATGATAGCTAAATATATGAGGATCTGAGTTGTTCCATATATATATATATATATATATATATATATATAAACTCAGCTGTATATATATATATATATATATATATATATATATATATATATATATATATATATATATATATATATATGAGTTTTCCTGAGTTTACCTAGTTGGGGTGTTATCGTGCTCGAATAAACTATCGCCAACTGTTGCGTTCTGTGCTGTCTCTGGGTCCCGAAGTTAGGACATTAAACGATATGAACGAAAAGTGCCTTTTCTTTTTGTTATTTGTATTTATTAAGAGAGAATGGAAGCAGCTTGAATTCTAAGAGGCAGAAGGATGAATGACGTCACAGGAATGCATGTCGCACGTTGGTTTGGCGTCCCTCCGCAGGTGGTCTTAGACGGTCTTTCAACCTGGGTGTGGGAGCTGTATCGACGCTTCAGAATTCTTGCTACCCTCTGTTGAATTCGCTCCGTTTTGGACTTATTCAAAAACTAGAAAAAGGAATCCATCCCTGTCAGAATATTCCATCATTGAAGCACTCCAGCCAATCGCTCACCATTCTGACTCTGGTCTTCGTATACAGTAACACAACGGGAAACAGGGAGAGCATAATAAGGTGCAAATTGTTTGCAGCATCTGTCAAGACAGGGTTCAGTTTCACTAGCTGTCCTTGCAATTTCCAACAGGACACAGCCCACACCACTGCAGAGGCACCAAGAGCTTACACAACATTCTACTGACAGATTGGGTCCATGGAATAATTGCAGTTTCCTGCTCACACAAACTTGGCTATTTTCTCGAAAGTACCTGAAATTTGACTTTTCTGATCAGGCGACACGACACTTGTCTTCCACAGTCCAATTTTCTGGCTAAGTGAGATGCAGTAATCGATGTCATAATGTCAATATTGGTACACTTCTTTGATGACGAATATGAAATTTCCTATATTGGAATATACAATGTAGAGTGCGTTGAGTGATACCAGTGTTAAATTGGGGTGTATTTTGCTGCATTGTTCTAACTTCTTTGGTTACCATCTTTGACGCTGAACTTTCATCACTTGTACGTATACACAGTTTTACATGCCATTGAAATCTTTGCGGACCACGCATATTCCTGATGAATCTATAACAGTTGCTACGAGGAGAAAATAGAATGCTATACACTTCTGGCTACAACAATAATTCAACTATCAAGCGGTGTTTTTAATCATATCACCCCAAGCATTAAAGTCATTAAAACGTATGGGGTTACTGAGTGTTAGAGTGTTTGAGAGAACAAGAAAATACTATTAAGAAGCAAGCACAGTAAAAGAACAAAAATTAAGAAGACAGAAGATCAAAGTTGACTGCAAAGCAAGAAACCGGAAGAGAATTGCCGAAGCGAGAAGTGTAATAAATAAATAGGTTTAGCTTAGAACTTATGGTTGTATCTAGCATTTTCAACTGTAAAATGATGAGACCTTGTCAAAAATCAAGTACAGCGCTTAAATTCATAAAGTCTAGGTACCATAGAGGAAAGTTCATCAGAATAATTACCATGAAAGTATTTATAAAAAAAAAAGGTACAGGGAAGCTATATTACGACGGAAGAATGGTAGACTTATAAATATGTAAGGTAGATTGTAGAGAGACAAATTCTCTAGTACAATGCAGGGAACCAACTTTCCTTGCAGCAGAACTAGCAATTGATTCAATATAATCTTTCCACTTCATATGAGCGGAAAATGTTAGCCCGAGAAGGCGCAATGAGTCACTCTCCAGGAGGTTAACATCAGCCATGTTGATGGAAGGTAGAAAGGGATCTCTCGCTCACAGCTTCACTGTCTCTTATTACATCGCATATATGTCATCCAATTGAGTCCATTTCTAAAACTGTGAGCGGGGAACCTATCTAGTATATTGCTGTCTATACATTATTAGTATATCCATAACATCAAAAACTGTCATGATTGAAAGCGATGGATTAAATCGTGACAAGGAGGACATAGCTTGCACCTTCACTTTGCTCCCATCCTCTCTCTCTCTCTCTCTCTCTCTCTCTCTCTCTCTCTCTCTCTCTCTCGTCCCGTCCAATATTTTAAATAGATTGGTACTATGTTTGACATAAATAGTTATGTGTGTGCGCACAGGAGTGTACGTGTGATTGTTTACGTAAATTGATGAAAGTGTACAAATTTTAGCTTCAAGTTGAAACTATAACAGAACAAAAATACTTTTGAACTTTGATGAGTATGCATGTTGGAAAAGGCATCTAAATAAATATACTTGTTAGTGCATTGACTTGGATGCGTTTAATGTGTTCCTTTGCACGCGTGTGATCTCGGTGTACTGAGTGTGTTTCTCTTTTTAAAATAAATAGCTTCATATTTGAACGTTTCTCGCCTCTTTCGTAATCCCTCGTTTCATAATTGTAAGCGTTCTCTCACGAACTATTTGGAGGGTTATCGTACCTGACTGCATCAATCCTTCGGCAAACAACCACCAGATGACGTTAAGTATTTCTCATGTTTTCAGTTCTCTTCAATTTAGTCACTCTCGCAAAATCACACGTATTCTGGTTATCTCGAGAGCGCTATCTTTCCGTCTCGCTTTTTCTCTCTCTCTCTCTCCCTCCCTCTTTCTCTCTCGCTCTCTCTCTCTCTCTCTCTCTATATATATATATATATATGCTATTGTTTCCCATCTTTTTCAATCTCTCTTTCATTTCCATCTTTTTATCTGTTTCTCTTCGCTTATGGAATTTTCTTCTATTCAAATATCTTTTTTGAAGTTCAAGCGAAGAAAATTCGGACATTTCATAAAACATAAAGAAACACATATAAACACAAATGCTTGTGTCAGCTTGTTTGTTTGCCTCCTCACGTTTTCTTTCTCCATATATATATATATATATATGTGTGTGTGTGTTCTTGTGTTTGTGTGGGCATATCGTTTTCAGTTTTCAGTTGACATGAATTGGAAATATTATATTGAAATCAGCTGCTAGGCCGGCTACTAGGAAAGTTGGTTCCCTGTGTTGTGCTAGACAATTTTTCTCGACAGAAAATTTTTATTTAAAAATATGATTCCAACGCTACATAAGAGTTCTAATGTTTCAAAACAAGAGCCGAAAACTTCAATATAATTATTTGAATTAAATTGAATTAAAGTACTAAGCTCTGTTCCATCTTCAAGCGAAATTCTTTTTGGAATAACTTATTCCTGTAATTTACGCGTTTTATAAGCATATTCCTTATTGAAATTAAGATTACTATGGTAACGGCTAGAGCAATTGTTTAAAGAAAAAAAAAGTATGTATAAGACTCTTCGTTAAGACGAATCGAATTCTCCAGTCACGGGTGTATTTATCTAAAAAATAAATACGTCTAAATTCCCCTTCATCTCTGCCGTGCGCCAATAGAGTCTCCGATTGATACCAGATCAATCGGGTTTCGATCCCGGCTTGAGGCAATCGGATGTCTAACCACACTGATGAGCTGTGAAACAGCGAAACAGTCTGTCTGTGGATGACAATATACAATATATATATATCATTATACCATAAGTTAACAGATGACAAGAAAGAATATCTAAATTTAGGATCAAACTGCAATCTGCAAGCGATATTTGACCCACTCATAAAGTAAACTAGAAATTGAAATCATACACCAGTCATTATCCCAACTTGAAACTGACAATTACAACATGATACTGAAAGCCATCATTGAAAACAAATTCAAATTTACAAAATTAGATAAAAATACTACTGACGAAAAAAATCTGAAGTAGGATCCATGAAAATTAACAAAATCACCGGAGACAACCAACAAGAATAGCTTTATAAAAATGTAAAGATATATAAACCACTACGATTACTCATTTCACAAGTTTCAACTTCAATTTATCAACTATCAAAATTATTTAATGATACCATCTCTCCATATCTACCCGCATTAATTTATGAATAAGATATATTATGGACACTATTGTCTTAAAAAAACATTTTCCAATGAAAATGAAATTTTACAAATATTTTTTTCATTTTTATAATAATTTATATTTAAACATTTATTTTCTATTCAACATTTATAATAATTTATAGAGTTTTAAATCTCTTAAAATACTGTATTAATTTGTAGCAAAAACTATATTTACTAATCA